TTTTTTTTTTTTTTTTTTTTTTTTTTTGGTCCGCGTTCGGACTACTCGAGGCTACGGCTCGGGTCCACTACCCCTATTTTTATTTTCTTTTATATATATATATATGAGTCGGTGAAACTCCGACGAAACAGTTTGTCACACCCCCTCGTTTGTTGTCCTCTTCTCTCTCTCTGCCTACGGTTTACCGGGCAGTTCTGTTTGTGACTATATATGAAACTCCGACGAAACAGTTTGTCACAGCCCCTCGTTTGTTGTCCTCTTCTCCCCCTCTGCCTACGGTTTACCGGGCAGTTCTATTTGACCATATATATATATATATATATATATATATATATATATATATCCTCTTCTCTCTCTCTGCCTACGGTTTTACCGGGCAGTTCTGTTTGTGACGATATATATATATATATTAACCGGGCAGTTCTATTTGATGATATATATGTTCTATTTGACGATATATATTTATATATATACAGGGTAACCGGCGTTTGGGACGGGCCGAACGCCCGAACGTATGGGACCCCTTGGGGATGTATCAAACTCGAGGCCGAACGCGGACCAAAAAAAAACAAACAGGGAAGGACATGTATCCAACTCTAGGCTACGGCTCGGGTCCACTACCCCTACTACCTTTTTCCAAGCGAATCACAAAACCAGAGTTAACGAACGCGGGTCCACTACCCCTACCTTATAGCTCCACGTTTGTTAACTCTGGTTTTTGTGATCATCGACACAAAACCAAGCTTATAGTTATCCCCTGGCCCTTGCTACCTTATAACTGGGGTCCACTACCCCTACCTTTCCTCCATATTCGATCTTGCTATCTTATAACGAGCTTATCGTTATCCCCTGTCCCCTGGCCTGCCATTCCTCTTCACAGGCATCATACCTTCTGCTTGGACTGTAGGCAACGCCTCAGGGAGAGAAGGTTTGAATACATCCCACGTGGAGAAATGGAAGTACTGGAAAGGACTACGTACATGATTGCGACCGTCCGATTCCGATTCCAATTCCGATTCCAAATTCCGATTCCGATTCCAATCTCTGCAAGACACGTAGGTAAATCATCGCCCAAAACAGAGATCCCACATACACGCCGTCACCCCTTCCTGCCGAGATCAGCGACATGGGAGAACTAGGCGTAGCCACCTTGTTGGCTTTTGAAGTTTTCAATATTGAATGTTTTCAACGAGGTTGCCATGTAAATGTGACTGATTTGTGAAAAGGCCTGTCCGGCACCGCTCGCCATCACCTAGATCACACACGGAACTGATACAGGAGATTCTAGTTTCGACCTGGAATTCCAACACCTTTTTCTTGAAATCTTTGGCACACCCCCATTCTCGCACTCTCCTGGACCCTCCCCGCACTCGTACCCACTCGGAAAGGAAAGTGGTGTCGAGCGTGAGATTAGCTTGTCACAATGTGGACAAGCAATGCTCTCCGTTGTCTCTGAGAGTGCAACATTGCCACCATGGTATGGTATGGCAGGCATTTCCCCGGTGCAATCGTCGCCTCGGTGCAGTTAAACCACCAGTACTTGGCCCAGCTATCAGCTGCAGAAAAAAATAGAGTAGAAAAACGTTTCTAGCCGGATGAATTTGGGCACTCCTGTAGTGGCCCGTACTTTTCCTCTTTTTTTTTTTTTGATTGATTGATTGATTGATTGACTGGTGGGGGATGGGGCGCCCCCCAAACACACACACACACACACACACACACACACACACACACACACACACACACACACACACACACACACACACACACTCACTTGCGCCAAAGTTGGGCGGGTTCCCCGCCCGCGCAACTTGGGCGTAAGAAAGTGAGTGTGTGTGTGTGTGTGTGTGTGTGTGTGTGTGTGTGTGTGTGTGTGTGTGTGTGATTGGGTGGGGGTTGGGGGGGTGACCCATCCCCCACCAATCAATCAATCAATCAATCAATCAATCATTCAACCAAAAAAAAAAAGGAAAAAAATTCTATCTGTTTTGAGTCTGGTTTTGTTTTTGATTTTTTTTAAAATAATTTTAATGCTAAAAAAATAAACATAAAAATATGGGGATGTAGAGAGCAAAAAAATCTACACCCCCATATTTTTTTTATTTTTTTCACCTATGTTTTGCCACCAAAAAAAAAATCCGCGGGCCGAGTTGTACCACGTTCAACTCGGTTCAACAGGGAGTTGAAACGGGAGTTGAATGGGAGTTGAACCGTTCAACTCAAAACCCCCGTTGAATCCGATTTCGGACACATAGCCCACGAGTGCCGGGTGGCAGTATTTGAATCTTATCTGGATTCAAACAGTTGTATAGGTCGGCGCGACTTCTGACTGTTGGGCAACTCATTAGGTGTGCTATACGTTGGCTGACAATGGGTGTACTATACATTAGGTGTCCTATACGACCTTGGGACCTTGGGTAGATGTTCGTCCCAATCTATGTGGTTGGGCCTAATGTACATTCGGAGGGTCTGCTGAAGCAACTTGGTCATCTGTTCCGTTTGCAGGGAAAAGAGACCAAACTTCAAAAAAAATGGCACAATATGGAAAGAATGTTCGACAGGGATCACCACCATCGCCAGTGGTTATAGAGCTTTGGGTCTCAGAACCATATCTAAAATTGTGGTCTAAAACAGTGCAAGTCGTACCTTCCAATAGATAACGAAGACATCAGGGTGTGTGTACTTACCAGTAGGTGATTGGTAAGCTGGTCCGATGTGGAAAACAGAAGCCCATTCTCACCATCCTTCACCAGCTCATGTATACTGCAGCACAGAGGTAAAATGACAGTCAAATGGCCACCATACAAAAAGGGTATACGCGTGCAAAAGCAGGCACACTGTCGCACACATCTACACACACACACACACACACACACACACACACACCTGTCTCTTATACACATCTAGATGTGTATAAGAGACAGCACACACACACACACACACACACACACACACACACAGAGAGAGAGAGAGAGAGAGAGAGAGAGAGAGAGAGAGAGAGAGAGAGAGAGAGAGAGAGAGAGAGAGAGAGAGAGAGAGAGAGAGAGAGAGACCCACCCACACACGGCACACCAGATCGTCCGCACTAGATCCAGATGTTGACATCTGGTCCACACAACAGCGGTCCCTTGAAAGCTATTTTCATGTTCTTGTTTGAACTTCTTCCCGCATATTTGGTTGTGTATTTCGAAGTTGTTTTGCTAAACTTTGTATTAAGTTTGTAATAACTTTGTACGGCATTGCTGGTAGACTTAGGGGGTAGTAATACCGTAGTATAGTTGGCCTCCCCTTCCATAGCCTATGACCCTAAAGGGCCTAAAGGCCCTAAGCCCAGTTACATAGCTCGGGGTAGGTAGTGTGAGATAAAAGAATATTGAGGGAAGAACGCATAGTAGTAGTAAAATGCAGCTGTCCCCCACATGAGGAGAATGCAGCTTGCAATGCCTTGCATTTCAACAAAAAAAAAAATCTTCCAAAAAATTCAAAAATAAAAAAAAATAAAAATTTGGAGAAACATAGTACACAAATTTGGAATTTTATCTGGACACCACAGACGCCCGAATTACAGAACCTGGACCACATGGACATTGGTCGAGGTGCCCGGATTCTTAGCCCTGGTGAAAATGAAACCAAGTCCTGAAATAACACTTTTCGTAAGCTCTTCTTATTAGCTCCGGTCCACATGTTCCATCCGTCAAGGTTTATGAAGAACATGCTGTCTCCTTAAACCACTAGTATCTCCGCCAGTGTTGGGAAAATAGGGAAAACTGGCAGTTTTCCCAAACTCCTAAGAAATCGGAGGCCAGGCCCGGCGACGGCTGCCATTCATAAATCTGATCGGCGGCTGTCGTTTCGTTTCGGCCTCATCTGGGAGTTCACAGTTGTCCCCCAATACCGGAAACTCCTTTTGTTCATTTGCCGCCCACAGAATCATGGATATGACCAGATGCACCCGTACACTCACGACAAATGAGCAAGGACAATGACACCTAAAGATCCTATGCATTTTCCAGAGGGAACAGGCACTATTAAACCACAAGTACACCGCCCAGGCAAAAAAAATTCATTGAAAACGACACGTTCCGAAAAGATCGGGGGTCGGGACAGGCTCGGCAGTAAGATAATGTTCAACCAGGAAAAAAAGAAAAGAAAAGAAAAGATGCAACTGCAAAGAGAGGAATGACGTCCGGGGAGGCAGCGAAGGACGTGTGCTCACACTAGTGCACTGGGGAATGAATCTGCCTGCAACTATGGCCAGTATTAGCTTTTGTTGCTTTTGTTGTTTTTTTTCTTCTTTTGTTTTCTTTTTGTTGCCCTGCCAGCGAGGCAGGGCGCACTGCAAGGACTGCTGACACTTCGTCAAAAAGGGCATACACTCCAGATTCGGTATCTAATGGCTTTCACGTCCATTATTATTATTATTATTTTTCGGGACAAAGCTCCAGTCTATTCGTGCGGAGCAGTACATGCTGGGAACCAGGCCCAGCGTCCCATTCAAGAACATATTTAGAAACATATGCAAAACAATTTGAGATACCGGGGCCATTACCCGGCTTTGGCTAGGAATGATATACTGCACTTCAAACAGCAAGAGGCTGTGAAGAGACTGCAAAACTACTGAAGAAAGCTTGGGTTCTATTATTGTAAAACTCCTACCTATAGATCCACCAACCAAGGAGACCAGCAAAAAGAAAACAGGACTCGTTCTTCCCACAATTCATTTGACAAGCAAGCAAGACTCAGTCCGACCATTCAATCCTCATCGACAGTCTCTTACCCCCCATCAACTAAGGTTACAGGGCAGCACGACCTACCCCAGCTCCGACCATCCTCGTTCTGACGGCGGAGACCGGAGTGCCTTCCTCCCTCGTCCACTCCCTCCTAGCCTCAAGCCCCTGACCCATTCAGGCTACAGAGCAATGCCCCAGCACTGGCTTCGTTGGACAAGCTGGTTTCACCTTCCTCCCTCGGTGAACTTCCCCAGACACAAGCCCCCACCCAGGTTACAGAGCAAAAAAGCCCCAGCGATGGTCTGCGTCGTCCCAGCAACATCCTCCAGACCTACGCGGCCTGGACTGAATCTTACTCAATGCAAACAACTCCCAATCACCCCCACTCCTCCCCCAGATCATAGGCAAGAATTCGAAGTAATTACTTTGTATCAAGGTACACACTGCAAAACTACATCCTCCTTCCGCACCTTCGACCGCGCTCTCTCCTTAGCACCCCCTCTGTTCCACCCTGCCCCTGCTATAGGGAGCCCCCTTCTCCCATCAGCCTCAGTTCAGAACAGACCCCCTTCGGACACCCCATGCTCCCTCACTGGAATACAATCCCCCCTAGTGTATTTCATCGCAGAGCAGTTCCCCCTCCCACCCTGTCCCACCGCCTGGTGGTACAGCCCACCAATCACTCCTCCTGCTGAACGCAAATGCAATCAGCTCTACCCCCTTGTCCTCTTCCCCAACCGCTGTGGCTGATCCGACCCAAAGACCAATCTAGCCCTAGAAGACAACACCCCCCAAAAAACACCCTCCCCCTTGAGGACAGTACTCCTCCCACCTTGTACTATCCTCTTTGGAAGAAGGCCAATCCTGAGAGTGCGATCTCAAACACCCCCCCCTTGCCCCGGCCTTGCCTGTTGGAGCGCAACCCATTAGTCTATCTATCTAGGGATTAATCATGAGAAACTTTTGAAAAAAGGAATTCAAAGATTAGACTAGAAAGTTATCTGACTACAAAAGAATTGGAATACGAAATACTTCAATTTTCAAAATAGGGAATTGGTTGCGAAACTAAAGATTAGACATATGTAATTAGGAAAAAACATATGAATTTTAGGTATAGACATCCAAGAAGGACCTCAAACAGCCAGATCAGACGAAACAAGAGACAGAGAAATAGAGGCTGAAGTAGGAGAAGAGAAAACTCATGGCACTCATAGCCCTCCCTCTATTCGATATACACACTTTCTCTTTTTTTCACAATAACCCCAACAACCCACCCATGCCACGTGGCATCCTACCCTCCATTACTCGTCATACCCTACCCAACATCGTCCCCACCATTCACACCAATCTGCCTCGTGCCTTCCCCGACATGGCATCCACCACCCCCTGCCAACCATACGCCCCTCCTGCCTCACCTCAATGGAAGTCCCGCAATGCGCCCTCCACTAAGCTGTGGCGAACATGCTAATCGCTCCGTGGCTTCCACCCCGACCCGCATCCGCTCTCCGTTGCTTCGGCCCAGGTGGGGCGCAGCGCTGCCGGTAGCGCTGCGTCCCTTTTCACGTCCATATTGTTGTTGCTTTTTTTCTTTTTTTTTTCATTTATGAAAGTAACGTCCGTGATGAACGCGTAGCTGCAACGCCCTCACTGAGGGCATACTCTCATACTACCCCAGATTCTGTATCCGACCGCTTTCGTGTCCTTAGGGTTGTTGCATTTTTTGTTTTGTTGTTTCTTTTTTTGCTTTACGCTCTTCATTTCGGAGGAGTACCAAAAAAGAAACTACAACGGGACTCAGGCTTGGCAAAACTCAGCGCGCAGTGAAATTCGGGTCCGTTTAAATCAGGTGCGGGTGTACTTGTGGTTTAAGAGAAGAACAGGCGACTGCTAGTTTTGAGATTCTCTGTACAAGCTCCAAAAGAGAGCATGTTGTCCAACAATGAAATATCCACATGGGGAAGACAAGAGGGGAGGACAGGAGAAAATAAGAAACAGGGCAGGGAAAGGCAGAGAAGAAAGGTGAAATCAGAGAAGGATGCACAGCAGAGTACAACGACACGGAGATCTAGTTGTAGAGGGGAGGACAGGAGTCAAGAATGAAGAAGAGAATGAATTGTAGAGCAGAAGAGCAAGAGGAGAAGGAGAGAGGGAAGTGGAGGGAAGTGAGGGGAGAGAGAACGGACAGGCAAACAGAAGAGCAAGTGGAGGCCGGAGGGAGGGAAGTGGAGGGGAAGTGGAGGGAAGTGAGGGGAGAGAGAACGGACAGGCAAACGGAAGAGCAAGTGGAGGCGGGAGGGAGGGAAGTGGAGGGAAGCAAGGGGGAGAGAGAAGAGAACGGGCAGAAAACAAAGGAAGTGAGGTATGGAGGGAAAGGCAGAGGAGGGAAGGAAGGGGAAGGAAGGGGAAGGCAAGGAAGGCGAAGGAAGAGAAGGAAGGGGGAGGGAAGAGAGAAGAGAGAGGAGATGAGAGAAGAGGTAAGAGAACGGAAAAGAGAGAAGAGAGAAGAGAGAAGAGAAAGGAGAAGGGAGAAGAGAGAAGAGAGAAGAGAGAAGAGAGGAGAGAAGAGAGAAGAGAGAAGAGATGAGAGAAGAGAGAAGAGAGAAGAGAGAAGAGAAAGGAGAGAAGAGAAGAGAGAAGAGAGAGACGAGAAGAGAGAAGAGAGAAGAGAAAGAAGTAAGGAGACGGGAGAGAAGAGAAGAGAGAAGAGAAAGAAGCGAAAGAAGAGAAAGAAAGGAAAGAAGAGAAAGAAGAGAAGAGAACAGAGAAGAAAGACGAGAAGAGAGAGAAGAGAGAAGAGAGAAGAGAGAAGAAAGAAGAGAGAAGAGAGAAGAGAAGAGAGGAGAGAGGAGAGAGGAGAGGAGAGAAGAGAAGAGAGGAGAGGAGAAAGAGAGGAGAGAAGAGAGGGGAGATGAGGGGAGAAGAGAGGAGAAAAGATGAGGGGGGAGGGAGGAGATGAGAGAAGAGAGGAGAGCAGAAGGGGAGAGAAGGAGAAAGAAGAGTGGCGATAAGAGAGGTGAGACAAGACAGTACAGACGAAGAAAGGAGAGAGGAGAGGGGAGAGAGGAGGGAGGAGAGAGGAGAGAGGAGAGAGGAGAGAGAGAGAAGAGAGAAGAGAGAAGAGAGAAGAGAGAAGAACGAGAGAAGAGACGAGAAGAGAGCACAGAAAAAAGGAGCAAAGAGAACAGAGGGAGAAGAGAGAAGAAAACAGAGAGGAGAAAAGAGAGGAGAGTGGAAAGCGGCGAGAAGAGGGAGGAAGAGATAATAGAACAAGAGAGGAAAGACGAATAGAGAAGAGGAGAGACGGGAAAAGAGGAAGAGAAGAGAACGGAAGAGAAATGGAGAGAGAAGAAAAGAGGACAAGAGAGAAGAAGAGACGAGAAGAGAAAAAAAGAGACGAATAGATGAAGAAGAGAGTACAGAAGTGGAAAGAGAAGGCAAGAAATGAGAAGAGGAGAAACGAAAGGAAAACAAAACGCTTTTGGAACATGTTATGCTTCTCTTCCCTTGCAGGATTGTGACGAGTCCCATGCCCTACACGTGAAATACGGCCACGTGCATCTTTGTACAATAGGTGACCCAACGCCAGCCCGGCTAAATATGCCAATAGTGACAAAATTTATGTGAGCTGCTGAAGAATATGCATCGTGCAATGATCGTTTTCAGATCGATTTGTCTTAATCATGTAGTTCAGTATATGTTCTAGCAATCACACTAAGAAGACAAGAAAACAGGAAAAACTTCCGAAAAAGAGAGGAGAAATGAAGGGTGAAGTGAAACCGGAGAAGCGAAAACAGCACTGACAAGAGAAGGCAAGAAAACAGAAAAAGAGAAAATAAGAGACTAGTTGAGAAGAGGAGAGAAAAAGAGAAAGAAAGAGGGAAAGAAACTTAATCGCAAATCTAGAGCCTACTTTTGGACGGGAGACCCAAACAGGAGCAAGTACATAATCTGGGCTTATCTGGGTAATGAACAAGGACCGGTGTAAAAAACGGTCTTCGGGTACCAATCAAGACGGGGCAAGAAAACAGAACAAGAGAACAGACGAGACTACCGTCTTCACCCGAATAGAACGCCCGGTCATTATCGCTGCATCTGGACTGAACGTTGGGCCAAATGCAGCTATAATGACCGGGCGTTCTACTCGGGTGAAGACGGTAGTTTAGAAGAGGAGAGAAAAAGAGAGAGAAAAAGAGAAAGAGAAAGAAAAAGAGAAAGAGAAGGCAAGAGAAGAGAAGACACGAGAAACATGACAAGCCAGGAAGACAAACAGAGGGGAACAATGGAGTAGCAGAGAAGGGGAGAGAGTAGCTAAGCAGAAAAGGACACTTCAACAGGGAGGGAGAAGCTTAGAAGGGGAGAAAAGGGCCAAAAAAAAGAGATGATGGAAGAGAAACTTCAAGAGAAGAGAGAAGCAGATGACAGAGAAGATGAGAGAGAAAACAAGAAGGGACAGGTGAAAGGGATGAGAGAGAGAGAGAGAGAGAGAGAGAGAGAGAGAGAGAGAGAGAGAGAGAGAGAGAGAGAGAGAGAGAGAGAGAGAGAGAGAGAGAGANAGAGAGAGAGAGAGAGAGAGAGAGAGAGAGAGAGAGAGAGAGAGAGAGAGAGAGAGAGAGAGAGAGAGAGAGAGAGAGAGAGAGAAGAAAGAGAGCGTGAGCGCAACTCGTTGACCCATTATGATACATGTAACTTACCAGGAGAATGCCAGAGCACATACAGGCAGCCCACAGCCAAACATGTCGACAACCTGAAACCAATGCCCCAACAAAGCAAACCAGAAACATCAAAAAATGCTAAGCATTAGGTGAAACAGTGAAAAGTACAAGATTGGGAAGAAGGGAAGCAGTAGACGCAGGAGAAGGAGAAGGAGAAGGAGAACGAAGGAGAAGTTCTGAAGTCCTTCACAGCAATGCCAGAACAGGATCCACATTAAACCGCTAGTACACGGCCCCAGCCTTGCAGAAAGTTTTTGTCGCCACAAGCAAAAAACGCGGAGGCACCGCACAGCCATTCCCGCCGTTAAAAAAAGAAATTGGCGGCCTCCAAAGTGGTGCGGGTTTCGTGCTGACACACGTGGGCCGATATGTGGTGTACTGGTGCTTTAAGATATCAATGAATGACACAAACTTGCGATGTGGAAGTGCACTGTTTTGTGAAATAAAATGCACAGTCCGTCAGTACAGGCCGACTCGGTCGAGCCCAAAGTTTTTACAAAAAGGGCTACGGTCTTGAGATATCATCATCATTTGAACAGACCAGCCCTAGGTAATTCAGAACTGCAGTAGTTTAGTCATCTGCTTCCTGTGGAATTCGAACTCGGGTTTGTATTTCAACAGTCAAGGGGTGTACCAACTGAGCTAGGCTGGTCAAAATTATTTGTGACGTCAGCTGGATTCTGCAGCACGGCGGTTGGTCTACAAGTGGGTTTGGGACACGGGAGCTCGACCTAGCAGCCGTGCATGACAGTGATGACACCATTAAAAAACCCAATTACTTGAGCCCATACTAGACACAAAGCCCAGGTAGGACTGTTGCCCCTTCGCAAGTCCCAGGGCTCCTTGACTGACGTTGAAACCAAAGCTCGACAAGCATATAGACGTCGAGGGGCGGACAGGCTGAAGTGAACTGGGATCAAACTCCTACACATACACACACACATACTTCTGAAGACTCAATCATGATTCAAGACAAAAATACTTCTCTTTTTTTTTTTTTTTTTTTTTTTTGACAGAAATAGTTCTCAAAGCTAACCAAGTCATGAATTGGTAGCGAGGCCACGTCTCCTTCGATTACGCCCTCCGTGCTGCTCGCAGAAACGCCATGCGCTCCTCCTCCCGATCCAATATTGTGCACGACGTGGGCACATACATCTGTCCTGCAAAACTCTCCTGCGGGAAGACTGCCGCGCTCTGCCATGCCCGGCGGTCCACCCACACACTGCTCTGCAGGGTCTGGGAAGGAAGACCAGTGGGCTGCCCTGTAAAGAAGGTGGCGTCGCTGTGCGAGCTGTGCCGCCGCTTATACTTCTTTGACAGGTCAGCAGTCCGCCCACGGACTGCTCCAAAGGGTCTGGGGGGACCGCTGCGCTACCTAGAAAAGAAAGTGCCGTCACTGCATGAGCTCCACCGCTTTTACCTTTTCGGCAGGCCGGGGCTTCGTCTAGAAACTGCCAAGTGTGAACAAGTCACCATCGGCCAGGACTGCCGGACCGTTGAAAGATAACCGTCACAAACGGCAGTGCCAGCACAACCCCGCTTTTCGCTAAGCGTTTCCTGGGATGCGCCAAATGCTTGCTCACCTACATCCAAATATAACTCCCGGGAACATTTCGGTACGTGTGCCCCTGGGATCCGCCAAATGCTTGCTCACCTACATCCAAATATAACTCCCGGGAACATTTCGGTACGTGTGCCCCTCTGCACACTCCCCCGCCCTCAATCCCCTTCATCTGCCGCCCCTCGCCAAAACTTCAACCCAAATCCGGCGCGCAGCGCGTCATGGACTTCCCCCCGCGGGCAATGCTGCTTAAGGGATAGGATATAAAAGGACTGAGTGGAAATCTGGGCCGCCCGGGTGACCGGCAGGGGCCCGGGGGAGGTCCCGGGCGGCCTGGCCGGGCAGGGCACCCGGTTGGGGGCCGGGCCCCCCCAGCGCACTCACCTGTCGGRGGATTTCGGACCCCCTTTGTGTGTGTGTGTGTGTGTGTGTGTGTGTGTGTGAGTGAGAGAGAGAGAGAGAGTGTGTGTGTGTGTGTGTGTGTGTGTGAGAGAGAGAGAGAG